TAAAAATACATAATTCTATTATTTTCTAGAACAATGATTGTGGCATTGGCAAATCAAATAGAAAAAGTGAATAAGCAGATCTGAGATCACCTGGAAATGGTTAGTTCCTTGTATAGATTCAGTACAACCTGTTTATTAAATAATTGTTAGCAGAACAAACATATACCCCAAAATTAAACTAGGAAAACATATTAACTTGAACAGTTTATCTGTTGGTCACATTTATAAATGACTCAGAAATATTAAAAGTGTGGAAACACTTGACAGTAAACAATGCCCGATCAGTACACTAAACAGAAATTGATGATAGACTCTATTTCCTGAAATAGACTCACACATATATTAATTGGTATTAAACAATTTAGCTCTAAAAAAAAGAGCCAAAAAAGAAACAAGGAGTAATCGTGGAAAGGACTTTGAACTTTTCCTTTTTTGAATGTTAAAAAAAAAAAGCGTACATGACTATGATAGCTTATTAGTTCCTTGAAAACTACGACATGACTCATTTCATATGGCATGAGAAAAAATGGTCTCAAGATCTCAATTTTCTGGAAGTCAACTGAAAAGCTGAATGCAACTAGCATTTTTGGACTTTACAGTAAAATCATGTCATTTTTTCAAAAGTTTAGGCATTTTGCAGCAGGCTGTTGCCAACCTAGTAACACTGATATGAAGAAATAATTTTATAAATAAACACAAATTCTATGATTACATTCAACAAAGAGGTGACAGATGTCTTAAATGTATAAAATATTTCCTCCTGAAAAATATACACGGATTGTCTTGCATAGAGGTGCAGTGGGAAGTACGACAGGACTTCCGTTACAGAGCTCATTTGCTGAAGGTCTAGAGAAGGGAGGCAAACTCCAAGAACCAGAGGCTCTGCAGTCCACATCCATCTCCACTGCACATTCTTCTTTTTATGTGTTTAAACAACAGTCTTAAAATGTAAAAATCATTCCTACCTTGCAGGCCATACAACTGCAGAACGATTTCGCCTGTGGGCTGTATGTAGTTTGCTTGCCCCTGGTCTAGAGCCATTTCTCATTTTCTTTCAGGTACAGATGATTTCAGAATGAGTGTTTGTAGGGGACCCTATTTATGGGCTTAAAGAAGTCTCTAATAAATGTGCCCAGCTGCAACCTTTCAGTTACTTCTGCAAACTCAATTTAGAAGTGATGACCTACAGATCTGACCTATAGATTGCCAGACATTTCAGAAGCTTTATGGCAGTTTTGTGAATATTTAAATTACCAATGACTAAATCTAGTTCAAATATCAACATTGTGCTCTCTAAAGCAATGACGCAGGTCTTGTTAATGAGGGCCGAAAGGAGCTGTGAGCAGAAATAGTGGGACCTGTGGTGGGTGCTGTAATATTGCCAGCTGCTGAGCTAACCAGAGTGGGGCAATTTTAGGTCACGCATGCCTGTAATCGAATTTCTTGAGTTAGGTTTTAGGGTTTTCTAGTAAGAAATATTCTTGTAATCATTTTCCACACTAGCTGCAAATCAAAACAGGTAGTAATTTGCTGAATTTAATGATACATGAAGGTCTTGTGAAACAATACTAGCTATTTAAAATGTATTAAAATAAGTACTTATTCCAAATGCTTATTCCAAATGGCTGAATGTTCAGCGGAAGCAGAAATTCTGTAGCTAATAGTTCTGCTTAAATTTTTTAGTCTTCTCCTTAGCTGCTCTGATTGCCTATCAGAGAGAGGAATGATGTTTGATGAAACTTGTTATTCTTACGTTTTCCACTTTCCCTCAATGATGTCAAGGCTTCATCACCCAAAGGGCAAGTTTATGGCCCAAAGCCACAGTTTCGTCTTCAGTTTGAATTTCAAGTGAAGCAGTATCTATATCTGGATCTAGGTCATTTACAAATAAAATACTGAATCATTAATTACTAAACATAAGTTTATCTACTTTTGACTTATTTTTAGAGACTAGAGATATTTGGGTTAATAAACATGTTCTTTCACTATATTCAAACATTGTACTATTAAAAAACATATGCCTGTAGACATTGAGGTGGTATATTCATATATTTGATAATCTACTATAGAGTGCTGACATGTAACAGTTCACAATTGACTACTTCCTCTTTTTCACTAGAAATTAAGGGTACTAAGGGTTAAGAATTCTAATCAATATATGTAAATAGACATACTAGAAACAAAAAGAAGGGACTCAATCTTGAAAGGTCTCAAAGAAATGAAAGATGTGTTTTTGTTAAGGAAAAAAAGAAGAGTAATTTTGTCTGAAAGTAGTTGCTTAGAGGGTGATTAAAGATTGTTCTAGGGCTGGCCAGATGGTGCAGTTGGTTAGAGTGCCAGCTCTGAGCAACAGGGTCGCCACTTCGATTCCCACATGGGCCAGTGAACTGTGCCCGGGCTGAGCTGATGAGCTGCCAGGTGGCCGGCTGTATGGGACGGTGGGCTGCACTCTTGTCCCAGCCCTCTCATGTCTGGAGAACTGCCAGATAGCTCAGTTGGTTAGAGTGCGTGCACACAATGTTCCCTTCCTCAATTCCCCAATAAAATCTTTAAATAAAAAAAAAAAGTAAACAAAAAAAAGATTGTTCTATAATGAGAAAGTGGAAAGTGAAGGACAAAAACGTGAATGGGTTTAGAAAGTTGTAAAGGGTCTGCAGAAGGTGGGGTGGGGTGGGCGGGCATATCTTATTTATGTGTTCAAGCTGGCTAAGAACGAATGCATTTATTTATAATTTTAAAAAATGAGCTCATAGTGTACAGGTGTAATTCCCTGTTAAAAGGACAGTTTCTTGGATTATTGTTCTGTTCTTTTTTTAAAAGATTTTATTGGGGAATTGGGGGAGGGGAACAGACAAGTTGCTGTCGTTTTGTTCTTCAGTCTAGTTGTGGAGGACGTTGCTTCACTGGCCCATGTTGGTATTATCATTGCACTATTCCCGGGTAAGGCAGACCGGCCGCCGGCCTCTGGATGGCCGCTCACGGCGGCTCTTGGCAGCTCACACGGGCTGATGGCCGCTCACGTTGGCTGCCAGCCACACACGGTAGCTCATGGCAGCCCACTGCAGCAGGGGCTGCAGCCTACACCATCGCCGGCGACTCACAGCAGCCCAGCTCCAGGTCGAGCTGTTGTTCACCATCTTAGCTGTAGAGGGCAGTGTCATTGACCCTATGTGGGCTCCGAACCAGGGCCCTGCTGCTCAGAGCTGACGTCCCAAGCCAGCTCTTAACCAACATGCCACTTGGCCGGCCCCTTATTGGTCTGTTCTTAATAAGAGACTGCAATTATTGTCACTTTGGTTAGTTACATGGGCAACTAAAGTATTGTTTCACAGTGACCTGTGATTTTATTTCATATAGTGTTCAAATGCTTTGACAACTTCCCAAAATCAAATTGTAAATGAAATTTTCTTGACCTCTGACAGATTTCCCAGGAAGCCCCTGGGAAATCTCAAAGGATTTGTTCTTTCTGCCTTGTAAAAAGAGTGATGTTAAACTAATTAGGTTTATTTGATATGTTGAATTGCATAGCAAGCATTGTCAAATAAGAGATGCTTAATTTCCGTAGCTTATATTTGTATGGGCATATATTATTAAGTAGTTCAGAAATTGTAAGAAGTGTCTAGAACCTTGTCAATGTCATAGCTGTCCATGATATGTCCTGGTGCAATGTGATCAGTCATAACTCCAGTTCTCTTAAAAGGTTGAATGTCTCAGAGACAACCAAATCTCTTTGTTAGTTGCGTTGTCATAAACACTCACCAGATCTTTAACCATGGGCATTTTTAAGCCTTTTGCCCTTCTCAGATATTGTTTTACTCTGATGCTTTTCTGAAAATGCTTGTCATCAGCTACAGGCTTAATTTTCAACAAAAAAGGACTATCTCAGAAACCCACGGAAAAGGCTACAGCAGGTACTCTGTGGTTTAGGCTTCTGATGTCATTGCTTATGTAACTTTCAGACTATACTACTAGACTAAATAATGATTTCCAGAACTAATGGAGAAACTCATGGGTTCATAAAACTGCTAACCCAAAACTAAGGAAGACCTGAATTTATCACATGGGACTGAGTAGACTGGTAAAGAATAATTATGATTTCTTCTATGACTTTTTCTTAGAGTATTGCTGGTTCTTTAATGTTCTAGTTTTCTGGATTCAGGGAAATGTTTTTCTTAAGCTATCTATAACTTATAGCAATTTAGTGGATTATATCTCTGTAAAGAAAAATGAAACATTTTTTCTCCTTGTCCGATCCCTCCAAAATTTGGAAACTGTTATTGAATGCTCTTATTTTCATGGCAATATAGTTATTTGAATAAGTTCAATAAGAATTTGCTCTCCTTGTAACAGGACACAACTGGAAAAGACTGGTTATATTACCGAGGCTTTGACTGAAATGTCATATTTGAGATGTGCATAGAATCAAATATAACCAGTTTTAAGGAACTGAGTTTGACTTAAAGGAGCCAGTGCTTACAAAGCTCTCCTGAAAAACCAGCCTGGTACCCTTCCAGGGTTCCCAGCCTTACGGGTGAGGAAGGCAGGCCCAGGAAGTTCGGCATGGGTTGGGGACTTTGAAGAGGAATTCATCCAAATCTGTAGGTACAGCAAATGAAGTCTAATGGTGAGCTCTTGGCTTGGTCTCTTAGCGCGAGGCTTTTAAAAGTCCAATCTGAGATTTCCAATAAAAGTTCCAGCAAAACAAACCTTAAAAAGCCTATGTCATCGATTACTATTCTTGCTGCACGTACATAAACAATCAGGCCAAGTTTGATGAGACTAGACTTGTGTGCAAAGAACAATAGTCTTACCTTGATTATCTTTGATAAAAATGGGGGGTGATTATAGAGAGACATTTTATGTCTCAATGGAAAAGTATATTAACAGACTTATCGAGGATTAATAGATTCAGAATCCTGTTCATTCTTTGAATTAGTTTTGCTGGATCCTGCCATCTTGTGCATTTCTGTGAGTAACTAACATTTCCAATTTTCTTTCAGTCCTGACTTGGCATCACTAAGAACTAAAACTGCCCTCTTCCTGAAACCCTGCAAGCTGAAGCTGGACGACTTGACATAACTTGAAAGGATTTATCACAACCGTTTGCGTCACTCAGGAAGTTCACCAGAACATGGTCCTTTGAGTTCCGGGAAATAACCTTGACTGGGACTGCAACTGCCATCCTTACTCCATCATATAAACACGCTTCGAGACCAACATCTAGAAATCCTTTTGATTGACTGACTGCCTTCCGGACTAAAAAAAAAAAAGAACAGTTTATAATCTGTTCCAACTATTAATTTTTGTTTTTCCTTTTGTTTCTCCATAAATCGATGTCTTTTTTTCTGCTTGTAAATCTCTAACTTCCCAACTTGTAATACAGATTTCTCCACAGCCACCACCTCAGCTTCTGGTCTGTGGAAGTTTTAGACAGGGGAAGAAAGGGATCCGGAATACATCACCGTGCATAAAAATTATTTTGAGATGAAAGCATTTGGAAATCAACACATACAGGAAGAGGCCTTTTTTTCTGAACTCCTTTTATCTGCCAAAAAGCAGAGCCTCCTAAAAACACTCAATGGTCACAAACCCTCTCTCTCTTCTGGGTTTCAGTACCACACCTGAACAGACATTGTCACAAAACCATCATAGCTTCTATTTACTCTTCTAAGGGCCCATTATCTTTCCCAAAAGTCATTTGTTTTCTCAGTCCCCTTTCTCTTCTTCCCTTTCCCTTTATTAAGGTGGCATATAAGCCTCAAATTCTGCCTCCTTGAGTCACAATGTTCTCTGCACTCCTGTGTATGCATGTGAATAAACATCTGCCCTTTCCCTTGCTAACCTGTCTTTGTCAGGCCCCCAACTACTGAATCTCAGAGGTCAGAGGAAACGTTTTCCCTCTCCAACAGGAGGTACTGTTAAGCCCAGTGGCATGCTCACATACACCTTAGCAATACCGGCAACTTCTCTCCATCTAACAACTGCGGTTAGACATTAAAATGAAAAAATTTCCTAATTCTTAAAGGAAGTATAACAGTTTAAAAAACAGCATTGAATTTTTCCAGTCAGATAGGTCACGACCATTCTTTTTTTTTTTCATTGTACAGCCCTCCCCACAAAGGGGTTTAATTAATTACCTTTAGCCAAATTCTTGTCATTATTTCCGAATATTTACAGCATAGTGAATAAGCTGTAGTATTAGACACTGAAAAACAAGACCAAGTGATCAAACTAATTATATTATGGCATTGATATGATGCAAAATGTAAGACAGAGGTAGATCTGAAAATCACTACATAGTTGCAAATTCCAATTATAACTGGTTCTCTTTGAAACATCAGTTTTACACAAATGCTTATCCAGTAGCACATCATAAACCACAGGGTTAAAAGAATTTCTTCTGTCATGTAAATGTGGAACTGGGAGCTAAAACTGTTAAACTTAGCAACAAATTATTTTTTTCAAGAGCAAAGTAATATGGAACCCATAGGATGCATAAGAAAACATTAAATTATTTGACACCTTTTGTGGGCACTGGCTAAATTCTGAAGTTGTCAGCATTAAAACAGAACTTAGTTTTTTCAGGCATTTAAAGATTTTCATGCATTGTGGACCTGAAATTTTTGGTCTTTTGATTTTCTTTGACTCACACTTCCTACCCTTAGTGTAAGAAAAACCCTCTCAGTGTAAGGAAAGCCCAGATTTTAACAGTCTGCAAAATTTTGCAGTAAGGTTAAACCATATTACTTGATCGAATTCTGCTAAACCAAATATCATTATTTGTGGTTCTCATTTGTAGATTATTAAAAAATGAATGTTTCTCCTGTCATCAATTTAAATAATATCACAAGGATAAAAGAGATCACTTCACGTCTTGGCAATGTTTCTTGAAAGCACCAAGGTGGAGCTGTGTGGTTAGTGATCAATCAGATTAACATAACCTTTCACCTAGTTTTTCCTTTAAAAAAAAAAAAGTTGAATTGCTTTCAATTTTCTGGAGTGAAAATGGCTGCATAGGAAGGATATTAAATTGTGCAAGCAAATTGCTCTTTCATGTCCTTATAAAGAATTAATATTTTCTAAAATATAATTTGCTATAGGGCTCACAGATGAGCACCTTTCACATCAGGTAATATGCAAACAAACCATTATTTGCTCAGTAGGAAACAGGTTTTTTAATACACTCTAGATAACAGCAAGTCTGCCAAGAAAATAAAGGGAAGGGAGGGGTGTAGTAATCTAACCCTGTAACGCCCACCCAGAATCCTAGAAGGAAAAAATAAAGCCATTCAAATAAAGATAACTGGGCAATATCCTGAAGGTCCATAATACTCGATATGGCACAGGTACAAACTCTTGAGTGTGCTAATACTGGGGATGCTAAAAAGAGCCACGTATGAGGCACAAGCTAACCTGTAAAATCAAAGAGCCTGGATTTAGACTCTGCTTTTGGCTCAATACTTCTGAAATGTTTTAGGCTGAGCTTTCATGCTGTTTTCACCACAGAAACAAGGGTCTTTGAAGAATTGGCCACAGTGTTACAAGTCACCCAATGATGCCCATGTTTCTCCAGGGAGGTGCTGGACAATTTTATTCAACAAGTGGTGGCTGAATTGCTTATTCAACAAACTGCTCTAAAGGGCTTCTGTCAGGGTGTGCTCTCTATACCCTTAATCTGACTTAAATACTGCAGAACCTCAGTCTCCTAACGTTTAGCAGCATTATCATGAAGGATGTGCCTTTGTTTCTTTATACAGCTTCCTTATGCAGAAGTGTATCTTGAGTGAAGGGTACAAAAGACAATGGTGTGAAACAAATGAAGTCATTAGAAATGTAAGATGGCTGACAGCCCAGGCAGCTGCACATGAAATGTGGCCAGAAGTCAGAACCTTGTGGTAAAATAAAGAATTGTCTTATGGGCTGTGTGCTGGAACTGTCTAGTTTCATATTTTCCTAAGGCACAACCAAAGTTCTTTTATTTTTTGGCAAGTGCTTTTCATGCTGGAGGATCATAAAAGTAGGTGGAAGTATCTGCCTAATGGCATGTTGGCATGCCAAGGGAAGGAAAATAGTACTCGGACTAAAACTAAGGCCAGTAGGTGAAGAAAAACAACAAAATTTCAATTGGTTTTAAATTTGTGCTAAGGCTACTTACTGAATACTGGCAAAATGACAGAACTGTTTAATACCTTTGCATAAGAAAAAAGAGCCTCCTTTTGAAGCTGGAGCTCAGGGTTTAATCTGGGGGTAATGTCACCATGTGGGAAAAACAATCTGGATTTTATAATAATGTATAAGCAGGAGAAGTAATAAAAATGCTAAATGGTATAGAGCTACAACTATGGTGCTATATGCACAAAGGGGTTAAATCTGGTTTTTAAATCCAGACAGGTGTTATGTTTGTGAAAAGTGGTACAATTTGTTATACATTCAAACCCAAACTAGAACTAGCTGCCTTACAATGAGATCTCACTGCCATTTTTTAGCACTTTAATTTTTGGGAGTTCTGTTACAAGTTCAAGTACATTAGAGCTGTTCTTAACCCTTTTATCTATTTCCTTCAAACAATGAAGGAGTAAGTATTCTAATAAGCTTTATGTAAATAGGATCCTGATCATTTAGCTCTAGTTAACACATTTCCCTGGGCATAACCATGGCCTCTCTGAAAACTGGAAAATATTGCATAATTTAAAAAGTCAGAGTATAATGACATTCACTGGTAATGTCGAATAAATTATGCTAGGAGGATGGAATATGGATAGGCCAGACCACCAATCATGTTTGCCTAGCCATAAAAACAGTAACAACTTAAAGATCCGCAAAGATCAACAGAACAACAACCTTTAACTGGCTGGAGATACAACATTCTACAGGTGTCCTCGTGGCCTTCATAAAGGCTACAAGATGACCCACCCACTCTGATTGGCTGTGGCCACACACAGACATGCCAGGGCTGGGATGTGACAAGTACAGAACACAGTGGCAGGTCTAAGCTTACTTTTGAAGCTCTGACTTGCACAGAGGCAGTCAGTTAGGAACTACCAGAATCCCACTGATAGCTCTTTTTTTTTTACCTTGGAAAACCATCCATGAGGTTACTCTGACAATACTATAAATCAAGGCTGACACAGCTAAATGCTGGCTCACAACTGGCCATCTGGATATGCGGTTTTGCCAGTCTTGCTGTTTTCATTATTTAGTCAAAAATTAAGAAAAGTATAATTTACATGCAGCCCTTGTCAAAAAAGAGGAAAAGGTTAATTTCCTATCATCAGTACAAACTGTTAACCTGTTAAGAAAAGCCCAATTTTTCTAGTATTCAAGTATATACATACACATCACATCTGTTTCTTTTTAAACATCTTAGGGTAAGAGTGCAAAGGAGGAGGACAAATGAGATAAAGACATGAGCTAAACATCCATCAAGCCCCATTCCTCATTTGCTGTGTGGCTGGTAGCGTCTGTCAGAAAGTCACTCCTTTGCTGCAATGGTCATGAGCATGTAGATCTTTAAGGATTTCCTTATTCACTTGGCCAGGCCGATGGTAGGTGGTTTTTTTTTGTTTTGTTTTGTTTTGTTTTCTTGGTGGAATAATTTATCACTGCTTCCTGAGAGGCTCAAACAGGATCACTGGCCAGATTCCGAAGAGAAACTGTTTAGAAACAAGTTAGGTCAAAATGAAAGAAAAAAAAATTGTTCTATGTTATCCCCGAGCCAATGAAAAAGAGCCCGTGGGCTATGACTATAGTGCCTGGTAGGTTTGCTAGCGATTGTCCTGGTAGTAAGCCTGAGCACAGCGTGTTTTTTCCAGGCTTGCACCAGATCTCAGAAACTATTTTTATTTAATTTATTTACATGTATTAAGTATCTACTTTATCAAGCATGGAGCTGGGCATTTAAATCTTCTCAGATCCTTAACAACTCTGCAATGTAGTTATTAACAGCTTCATTTTATTGCTGAAGAAACTAAGGTTTAAAGACACTTGCCCAAGGTCACAGAGCAGTAAGTGGAGGAATTAAGATTCAAGAGCATCTGGTTCCAAAGCCCGTCTTCAATCCACTACCTCTCTACCCCACCCCCTTCTTCCACCGCCATCCCATCCTCCCAATATCCTCCCTCTCTCAACACACACACACACACACACACACACACACCACACACACACCCACCCCAGGAAGTGGATTTACCTTCACTTTTGGCCTCCATCTCAGGTAAAGTGTTCTTGTATATACACTGAAAGAAAAGGGGAGGAGAGATAGCTCTTGAGACTGATTTTTAATCCATGCAAACTGGCTTACTGGCAAATTTAACCATTGTGCCTCTGTATATACAAAGAACAAGCAACACTGGTATAGCCTTTGTTCTTTTAGCAACCATTTTTTTGAGTGCCTCCTCTGCAGAACACTTGGCAAGATGCTAAGGAAGGCAGAAATGATTAACTCTCAAGCTGGGACCTCAGGATAGTTGTAGTCTAGTAGGGAGCATGCCATTCATGCTTGATATGATTCCTACCACAATTGCCAGTTTCATCTTTGAAGATATACATCTGGTAGTAAGAATTAAAGAAGAGTATCCTTACAATATTTTGGAAGTGGTTATATCAGCTCTACAAGGATTATAATACGGGTATGAAATAACTAGGAAGGTAACACAGTCTTCTTCACAGCATCATTTAAAATGAGTCACTTCTGAAGATACCAGATTCTAAACTCAGTGCATACAGCAAAAGTAAAGTTAAATTTATCCCTGAAAATTTCATTAAACTATCTATAACATACAGCATACATAGTTTTACGTACAGTACATTATTTAAATGTATTTGAACAGTAATATACAGTGTATCATGTGTATATATGCAAAACATAATTTTATAGTATGAAAAATTTTCTTTTAAACATGGGAAAGGTGAAAGAGCATGTATAGTTGAATTTGCATAATTGAATGTGGCTATGATGCCATTCTGCTTTACCCAAAACCAGAACTGCAAAGAGGAACATCAAGTGTTATGAAGAATGCTGCCTTAAAATATAACTTCACTCTTACAGTTTTCAGATATTAATCTCTAAAAGAAAGTTGCCACCTTTTCTCTTCTCTTTAGGAAAGAATCCTGGACTGGGGCAGAGGAGCCCTGAATTCCAACTCTTGCTGTTATATCCAGTGCTCCTAACTATTTATTAAGCACCGACAAAGGTGGGGCAAATGCTGGACCCAGAGCTTTATACACATTTCATTCTTAAACTACCCTCCTAAGTGGGTGCTACTCTCCCCATTTTGCATATGAGAAACAGTTTCAGAAAGGTCAAATATTCCATTCAAGGTGTCACAGCTAGTAAATGCTAAAAGCAGGATTTGAATTCAGGTTCTAATTGTTAGCCAATATATTATACTCTAACTGGCCAGTGACCTTGAGCAAGTCATTTCTCTCTGGGCCCCAGTTTCCTTCACCTTCCAAGGTCTCCTAGATTGGTTTGGGGAGACAGGAAACTCTGGGCTCAAATCCAAGCAAGAACATTAAGATCATGTGTGAGGTACTTGACTTCTCCGAGCTCATCTTTCCTCAAGTAGAAAAAAATACCTGCCCTATAGGACTGTACTGAGGATTTAAGGAGGTCATATATATCAATGCCTAGCCCAGAGGAAGTTATAAGCTTAAAACTGAAACATTCTATGAAAAAAATTCAAACAGAAACAAAGTACCTATCACATAAAGTTGTTAAAAATATCTTATCTCCTCATATTTGCAGCATCTGTAGTGATGTTTCCTTTTATATTCCTGATTTTGGTTACTTATGCTTTTCCTCTTATTGAATCTCACCAGATATGTCAATTATTAAGTTATTGTATCTCAGCTCCAAATCCACCCTTTCATATTCTATTTGTGACGTAGGAGCTGAGACTACAAACCACTTTTCTGCATTGACAAATGCTCCCTGATAGGCTCTGCTAATAGAGGGTGTTCAAGAGACATTGTAAAGCTGGAGGAGAAAGAAGGGACTTGTTCTTCCCTGTTTTATTTTCACGAGGGCTGTTGGCTTGTGGTTCCTGTGAACAGCATCCCTACATTTCATCACTGTGGCAGCAGCACTTCGCTCCTGTAGCAGCAGTGCCCTTCTTAAGAGGCCTGGGTCCCAGCCCAATGGGTTGTTTCCTCTGAGCTCAAACATCAGCACCAGCTGAGCAGTGCCTCCTCTTCAGGTGAGTCTGGAGACTCCAAATTCTTCAGTACTCCTCCCATCAAGAGATAGGATCTATGTCCCTTTTATTTAAATCTGTGACTTTGACAGATACGGAAGTGACACCATATGAATTCTGAGGCCAGGTTGTCAAAGGCCCTACTACTTCTGCCTGGCTCTCTTGAGGTTTTTCTCTGGGGGAAGCCATCAGCTAGGTAAGAAGGCTGATTATCTGAGGTTGAAGAAACCATATGCGGGCAGCTCCAGTTTGCAGCCATAGCTGAGCTCCCAGATTACAGCCTGTATCAAATGACAGCCCATGTAGGTAAGCCATGTTGTACATCCATCCCAGCTGGAGCCTTCTGATGACTGTAGCCTAAGCTGACATCTGACACCAGCCCTATGAGAGACCTCATGAGGACTGCCTAGCTGAGCCCTTCCAAATTCAAGCCCCACAAAATACTGAATAAAATAAAATGATTTTAAACTGGTAAGTTTGGGGTTATATAACATCAGTAACTGAAATATGCCTCCCTCCCCTGCTCTCTACTTTCCATCTAGAACTCCAATTAAACATGCTAGACTCTCTCACTTTATTTTCCATTTCTCTTAACCTTACATCCATATTTTTGTATTCTGTTTTGGTCTCTGTTGCATTTAAGTAATTTTTCTGACCTATCTACCAGTTCACTAATTCTCTTTTCAATTGCATCTAATCTGTTATCAGTCCTGTACACTGAGTTCAGTCCTGTACACTGAGTTTTGCATTTTGGCTAGTATAGTCTTCATTTCTAGAGATTCTGTTTGGTCCTTTTTAAAATTTGTTTGAAAAGTTTTTTGTTTTTTTTCATTGAACTTATTTTTAAGTTTGATTTATTTCTTCCAGCACAGGAATTATAACATTATTTTTATACTTACTGATAATTCTAATATGTGATATTTTTGCAGGTCTCTTTCTGCTATAATATTCCTGTTGGGTTATTGCTCATGGTGTCTTGTTTCCTTGTGTGCTTTATTATTTTTGACTGTGCAATGGCTACTCTTCTTAAAAATTACTTTTTTGAAGGTTCTTTGGAAACTATGATGAAGAAGTCTTTCTCCAGAAGGGATTGGTGTTTGCTTTTGCCAGGCACTTGGGGGATACTACAGGTCTAGGATAACCTTTACCCAAGTTCATGGCTTGAAGTTCCCCAGAGCACTTAGGTAGATGGGCTGCAAATCTGTGAGGGATGGCTGATGGCCATGGCTTCTGTGAAACATATTTCTTGCCCTCGCTTTCCTTCTTTTTCTTGCTCTGTTTAGTGCCAAAAGAACTTAACTTACTTTACACTCAGTTGGGGGTGGAATATAAAATGAGTTTATTTCTGATTCATCCAGCTTGATGTCAGGTGATCTTCCATTAGACTCCCTTCCTTGGGCTGACTCCTTTCCTTTGGTTAGCCCTAGGCCTTGACTTCTGTCCCCTTTGTTCCATGTGGTCATGAAATCAGAGCCTAAATTTGATGAATTGACAAAAATTCTTCCAACCCAAAGCAGCTGTGATGTTCCTTTTTTGGTACCTGCTTTCTCTTTCTCTTAGACTTTGTTAGTTTCTTTTAACCTTTCCTATTTTTGATGCTTTTAATATTTTATCCAACATTTTTAGTTGTTTTTTCCCAAAACACAGCATACTTGAATTAATCAATCAATCTGAAAACAATACCATAACTCAAAATCTTCAAGACAGGAAACAAAATAGTACATATATATCTTTTAAAATTTTTCGTAACTGTAGTTCCTCTTTATATTTATGAATATGCAGATATTTTCCAAATAAAAACTCCCTGTAGGACAACTATATATAAATATGGATATGATAAGTGCAGACTAGTTCTGTAGAGCCTTTTGAAATCGAGGGTCTGAAACACAAAATTTTCAGGTGGGCACATGACGTTAGTCTAAAATTTTTTCACATTGGTTATTTTGACATTTTTTTCGTCCGATTTCTCTACTCATGTCAACAAAACATTTTGCCAGAAAAAAAAAATCCCCCAAATAAAAACACCATTCCAGATCTGGTACACTTAAATATATCACTCTCATTGGAAGTAATATCAGCATAGCCTTTGCAACTAGCACAAAGCAGACATTTTATATTTACACCATCTTATTTGAAAAGTACAGAATAAAACCACTCCAGTACTAGGTTTAAAAAGTCTCTATTTCCTACCTGAAAAGGATGTGAAGATAAGAACCAAGGCCAGTTAAAATATGCCACCATGCATGAAATTGTGTGGTAACACCTATGATAGGTGGTGCCTTCTTTCGAAAGTTCCTGCATAGAAAGGATGAAAAAAATCACATTAATTTTTTAAAAACACATATTTAGCAGCCAATCCCAACAGTCTTAGAGCATTTTAAAATGCCATTCTCAAATATGGCAATTATTTAATTTCCTTAAATATTGTTTTCCAAAGTGTTTATTGAGGAATAGTATTCCTAGCAAAAGTTCCATGAAGAAATGGCTCTGATTAAAATAAATGTGGGAAATAGTACATAGTTTATTGCCCTCTTGGAGATCTGAAATCCACATTAACTTTGAAGTGTCCTACCATAACTAAAAGAGTTTATCTTCTTTTTTTCCCAGGTAGCCTACTAATCCACAGAACCCTTCATTCAGATAATGTTAATACCTTATAGAACAAGCATTTCCTGGAACACACTTTGGGAAACACTAGCTACTCAGTGTTTCATTCACTGAAGAAACTAGATACACACTTTTCCTATGCCCTGCATACAACCATTGTCCTAGAAGAGCACCACACAATCTATAAAGTCCTTTTGTAGCTATCATTTCACTTCACAGTGAATCTTTGAGGTGGTTATTATTAGCTTTGCTTTACAGATTAGGAACCTAAACCTCAGAGAGATTGACTGAATTGTCCAAGTCACTCAGCTAGTGGCACAGCCAAGTCTAAAATTCTAGATCTTTTGATTAAGTGTCTACCCTATTTAATATTCTCCTTTACTAGCTAGAGGGGGGAAAATTGTGAAACACCAAATTATTTCTCTACATTTCCCCATGAATTTTTGAGACAATTACCATCTCTAGGAACCTACTTTGTTTCTTAGTGGCTCTCACCCAGAGGAGGATGACTTACCTCAGCGGTGGGTATTACTGAGTCAGAGCTACTCAATTAGCTCTTAGTTTTCTAAGCAAGGTGTATTACTTTGTTTGTTTATATACATTTAAAGTCTCCATTTACTTATTTAACTTTCTATTATGGATAATTTCAAATATGTGCAAAAGTAGGCAAAATATTAATGTACCCATTATCCAGCAGCTCCAACAAATGTAACTTATGGCCAATCTTGTATCATCTAAACTCTCATCCACTTCTCTCCCCCACCAATATTATTTTGAAGCAAATCCCAGATAGTGCATCATTTTATCTCTAACTATTTCAGCATGTATGTCTTACAGATTAAAGCCTCTTGGGCCGGCCGAGTGGCGCGTTAGTTAAGAGCTGGCATGGGATGCCAGAGGGCCCAGGTTCGGATCCCACATATGAGGGCCAGTGACACTGCCCTCTACAGCTAAGATGCTGAACAACAGCTCAGCCTGGAACTGGACTGCTATGAGTCGCTGGCAACGGCGTAGGCTGCAGTGGGTTGCCACGGGCTACCGTGTGTAGCCAGCAGCCAGCGTGAGCGGCCAGCAGCCGCAATGAGCGGCTGTCCAAAAGCTGGCGACTGATCTGTCTCGCCCAGGAAGAGTGCAGTGATGGTGCCAACTTGGGCCAGTGAAGCAAAGTCTTCCACAACTAGACTGAAGAACAAAACGACAGCAACTTGTCTGTTCCCCTTCCCCCAATTCCCCAGTGCTGTTCCCAGTCCCCAATTCCCCAATAAAAATCTTTTAAGAAAAAAAAAAGATTAAAGCCTCTTTAAAACATAACCATACCTAAAATATTAACAATAATTACTTAATATCATCAAACATTCAATTACCAATCAAATTCCAATCGTTTCATAAACTTTTTGTTTTTTTACAGTTGGTTTGTTTGACTGAAAATCCAAAAACGGTGAACACATTACATTTGGTTATATATCTCTTAAGTCTTTTTTAATCTATATGTTCCTTCTCGCTTTTCTCCCCTCTGCAATTTATTTGTTGAGGAGACCAGGCCATTCATCCTGTAGATTTCCCAGTCTCAGTTTTGCTGATTGCCTCTCTGTGGTGCTGCTCAATGCTCAATATATTCCTATGTCCTTTGTTTTATACAAAATTGTCAGGTCACAGAATTTTGAGTTGGAGGGACTTACTAGTTTAACCGACTTAACTTGCTCATTTTATGGAAATTGAGGCACAGAAAGATGGTATCTTAGCGACAGACTAGGGTCAAGAGACCCAAGAATCAAACTCCAGTCAATGCATAATTGATGATGACAAGATGGTAAAAGGAACACTTGCTTTTCTTAGAAAATAGCATTAAACATATTAAAGTACAAAATTATAGTATATATGTATTTAAAATTCTTATTACAAATTATTGTTATTTCTTCAGTAAAGCAAATTAGACAGATTTCAAAAACGTAGTCAACATTTGATTAAAAATCTCTACAAATGATACAAATGTTCTCAGGTCTAAATTTTTAGGCAATTTAAACAAGTCTTCTCAAAATTTAACTTTATTGTGTTGCTCATATCTTTTTAATTTCAACAATAGCAAAAGTTCACTTCAGGGTGCTAAAAATTCTATATGCCTATGAGACTCTGCTTAATAGACTGATCTCAAAAATATTTCTCAAAGATTGAAAATATATCTTACCTTAGTGAAACACAAAAGATGTTATCTATGTTCCATAATAAAAATCCCAATAAAAATATACCCAGAGATGTATAACCCAGTCCTCTAAGCCATGGATAAACCCTGTGGGGATAATAAAAAGAAAAGCAAAATGAAATTTTGTCAAATCATGTCACGATCAGAGCTTTCCTATCATGAAAAGGAAAGGTTTTCACTAGTACTTAAAGCAAACCTATCTATTAAATTCTCTAACACATTTGCCTATTACATTTAGTCATTAAAAGGTACTGAGAGAGAATGTGCCACTAAGACTTTTGCTAAGTGTACCAAGAAGGTAATCTGAAAGCACACAATAGCTTTATCAGTCCCATGGAATGTAAGGCGAGTGGTAGAACAGATTTACATTAGGTCACCTGCTGTGTCAGGCACCATAGTAAATTAGATACACACTATACATACACATATATGAATATAATACATATTTTCTATAGATTCAATAAGGTACCATTGAATTAAACTGCATATAATTAAAGTGTACATTTGCATATATTCATAAAACCAACACCACTCCTGATAATAAACATACCCATCACCTCCAAAAGCTGAGTTTGCATTTTTTTAATTTTTTTTAAAGATTTTATTGGGGAATCGGGGAAGGGGAACAGACAAGTTGCTGTCCTTTTGTTCTTCAGTCTAGTTGTGGAGGACGTTGCTTCACTGGCCCATGTTGGTATTATCATTGCACTCTTCCCGGGTGAGGCAGATTGGTCGCCAGCCCATGGACGGCCACTCACGTGGCCGCTCACTCTGGCTGCTGGCCATACATGGTAGCTTATGGCAGCCCTGAGTTTGCATTTTTAAGAATGTTATATAAATGGGATAATAATGTTTATCCTCTTTGTTATGTTTTTTTCCACTTGGCATAATTATTTTGAAATTTATCCACGTAGTTATGTGTATCAATACTTCATTTTTTTAAATTGCTGAGTAGTACTCCACTGTGTGGATATATCGCAATTTGTTTATCTGTCCAAATATTGGTGGACATTTGTGCTATTTCCAGTTTTTTGCTATAACAAATAAAGCAGCTATGAACACTAATAAATAACTGTTTGTATGGACATTTCATTTCTCTTAGGTAAAAAGCTAGGAGAGAAATGGCTGAAATGTATAGCAGGTGAATGTTAAACTTGATAAGATATTGCTAAACTGTTTTTCTAAGTGACTGTATGATTTTACATTCCCACTAGCAGTGTATGAGTATTTTTTGTTGTACATCTTCACCAACACTGGGTATGATGTAAGTTTTTTTCATTTTAGTTGTTCCAGTAGGTGTGTACTGGTATCTCATTGTGGTTTTAATTTGCATTTCCCTAATTACTAATGTTACTGAGCATCTTTTCATGTGCTTATTTGCCATCCATGTATCTTTTTTGATACAGAGTTTGTTGAATCTTCGGCCATTGAAAAAATTGTTTGCCTTATTATTGCGTTGTAAGAGTTCTTCATATATTCTAAATGTAAATTTTTTGTTTGATATGCATTTTGCAAATATTTCTTCAAGTCTATGACTTGCCTTTAATTTTCTTGTGTCTTTTGAAGTACAAAACATTGTTATTTTGATGAAGTTCAATTTATCAATATTTTCATTATATTAATAATTTGCACTTTTTGTGTCCTATTTAAAAACTCTTTGCTTAACCAAAGGCTGCAAAGACTTCTGTATTTTCTTCTATAAGTTTTATAGTTTTAGCTTTTACATTTAGGGATATGATTCACTTCTAGTAAATTTTTGTAATGGTGTGAGTTTAAATTCATTTTTTAAATAAAAATATCAAGCTCTTCAGTACAATTTGTTGAAAAGATTTTTTTTCCCCCACAGAATTATCTTAGAATATTTATTTTAAATCACGTCAGTACGGATGTGTGGGTCTATTTTTCGATGTTCCATTGATCTATATTTCATTCTTACCACCAATACCACATTGTCTTAATTAGTATAGCACAGAGTAAATCAAGTAGTGAAAGTCCTATAACTTTATTGTTTTTTTTCAAAGCCGTTTTGGCAAAATATTTTAGATCCTTTGCTTTCCCATGTAAATTTCAAATTGAAATTTACCAAAAGCCTGCAGAGATTTTTGTGAAGACATCTGGCAGGGTTGCAGTGTGGGCCAGGTGCTGAGATGTGAAAGGAATATGATCAGTGGAAAATAGGAAAAAAATACTATTTCCTGCTTCTAAGCTTACTTACGAGGGCCAATCTTCAGCTCTCAGCTGTAATTCAAAGCAAAATTCTTCTGTGAGGTGAAATGCATGTCTGGTTATGCAGGTAGCAGGGTATGCAGGAGAGAGCAAGAACTTCATTAGCACATGGTCCATGCAAGCTAAGTACAGATACAACTCTGGGGACAGATTGCCCATATATTATCAGGTACCAGAGTGTATTTTGTGCCTCATTTTGCTCAAAAATATCCAACAGATTCCTGAGCAATAGTTCACGGGATATAAGTTTGATAACTTGAATGTATGAAAATGTATTTTGTCCCCATATTTTATTGAGTTTGGCTGGCTAGAATTCTAGGTTAGAATTCCATAATTCTAACTTCGCGTTTTGCTTTGGTTAAGTCCAAAGCCATCCTGAATCCTGATCCATTGTATGTATATCTGCCTGCTAACTACATAAACTTGTGGAATCTTCCTTGTCTAGAATTCTGAAACTGGCATGGGTCTATTTCCACCCACTGTGCTGAATAGCTAAAGGGTTCATTTGATCTAATAACTCACGTCTTTCAACTATAGGTTATTTTCGTGATGATTTCATCCCTTCCATTTTCTCTGCAGCCCCTTCCCCTTTTTTATGTCAGCACTTCTATTCTGGCCTGGTAATATTCCTACTCAGTCTCTTCTATTCTCCATTTCTTTCTCATCATCCTGATGGCCCCCAGGGTGTATGTGTCTGTCTCTGTCTGTCTTTGCTTCTGCCCTTTCCACTGTGAAGTCCATGGTTCTCCACAGCAGTAGTGGTGAACGGGCCTAATGTTTGTGTTCCATTTATGGCTGCACCGTGATAGACACTTGGATTTCTTTCAGGACTTTGCCAGTTACTAGCCTTTAGACTAGTAACTTTCACTGTAGGGTTATTTTGCGGCTAATTGTCAGGGAACCCCCAATATCAGTTATCTTTATGTCTTTTAGGGTCCTCAAATTCCTTAAAAGAAGACTCTTTCAATGTTCTACCTATAGGTCTTTGTATTCAGTCTTCAGAATGCATAAGGTCATCCAATTTCCTTAATTTCGGCATGGTAGTCACATGCTCAATTGTGCTTAGTAAAGTCCAATCTAGAGACATTGGTCACCCTTTCCAGAGAATAAACCTCCACTTTTACAGTTGCTCAATCATTTAACAATTTCTTAAAACTTTCAACCTATCCTCTTTTAGACCCCTCCTTCATTTCCTTTTCTAAATTGTCTTTTGCTATAAATGCCTGATACTTGAGAAAATGCTCTGATGTAAATTGAAGGTTCGTAGCCTAGGATTTGGCTTTCCTGGGTTAGTTAAAGCAGTTAGTAGGAATCCATCTATTTTCCAGCTTCTAATTTTTATTATGTATTCTCCTTATGGGTTTATGCTTTACAAATAAATTCCTTTGTTGTAGTCTTAGTAAGGTTTCGGGAGCAAGCAAAATTCGATACCTGTTGATCTTCAATATTGTAACTCTGTTTTCTTTTTCATTAATTTCTGCCCTTTATTAGTCCCATTCTTCATTTCTCTTTGGGTTTATTCAATTGACTTACTTTCTAATTAATGAAGTTAGATACTTAGGTCATTCCTCTTAAGTTTCTCCATTTCTCATGTAAACATCCAAAGTTATTAATTTCCCTCCAAGAACCACTTTAGCTACATCCTGTTTTCATTTGTAGTATTTTCACTATGGTTCCATTCTAAGCATTTCAATATTTCTGTTATGATTTCTTTTTCTACTTGTATTTAAATTGTGGTTTTAAGTTTCAAAATATATGGCCTATTTTGACTAATTCTGTTTTAACTGATTGTATGTATCATAGTCAGAGAATATGTTATGAGGGATACCAATTCTTTAAAGTTTGTTAAACCTTTCTTTAAAGCTAGCATCTGGTAAATTTAATAATCATTCCATGCATGCTTGAGACCACACATTCTTTAATTCTTGAGTGTAACAGATCATTTTGTTATTGTGTTACTCAAATTTTATCAATATCCTTGTTCATATGTTTTAGTCTGAGTTACTGTGTTAAAATATCTCAGCCTGATGGAGCATTTTACTTCTCTTTGTAATTCTGTCAAATTTTGCTTAAAATCTTCCATATAAGTTAGAAATTACTGGTTTTTTTCTATAAATTTAATCTTTTAATAATAATGTAGTGGACACATTTGTTTTAAACAATGCCTTAATTTTTTTCCCTGTTATTAAAATGGCTAGTCCAACTTTCTTTTAGTCAATATCTGTATGGTATATATATGTTAAATATATATACATATATATATATATATATGTATATATATGTATATATATAGTATTTATATCCTTTCTTTCAAAATTACTGTGTATTTATGTTTCAACCATGTTTCTTATGGACATCACATTGCAGGATTTTTTTCCCCTGTTTGACAGTCTTTGTCTTTTAATTGCTTAGCTTTGTCCATTTATATTTACTGTGATTACTGATATATTTTGAATTTCTTCTATCCCTTTATTTTCTGCTTTATATTTTTCTTGACTTTTCTTTGCTTCCCTTTCCCCCTCTTCTTCTCCTGATTTCTTTTGGATTCAGTTTTCATAATCCCATTTACTCCTTGATGTTTTTGAAAGTTATTGTACAATCTACTGTTTTTAGTGGTTACCAAAAATGCACATGTAAAATCTAAAATTAATCACTGTATGTACCCTCTTCCCAAATAAAAAAGACCTTAGGAACTATGTAACTAATATTATCTTCTTGTATCTCATATGTTATTCTGTCCACCATTTTAGTTCTACATTTTTAATATCTCAAATGAGATATTATATTAAAGAGTCACAATATTGTTCAGATAGTCCAACAGGTTACCATTTTTTTTTCTCTTTTAATGTTCTTTCTTGTGT